GGGCTTGGAGGAAGGGCTGCTTGAAAACTAACCAGCTCTCTTGGGCCCCCCTTCCTTCTAGGACTCTAGCCCATGGGATTCTTCCAAGGAGGTCTCTGAAGAGGCTAAAGTTGGCCCTCCTGAAGTCCATGGTTGCAAGGCTACTTACAGCCCTGCCTCTTCCTTGTTGGATCCTGAACTCCACCAACTCATAGTCACTACAGCTGAGGCTACCCCCACCTTCACATCTCCTACAAGTCCCTCTCTATTTGTTAGCATGAGGTCCAGTAGCCCACCTCTCCCCATTGGCTCCTCCATAACCTGTGTCAAAAAGTTATCATCAACACACTGCAGAAACCTCTAGGACTGTTTGTGCCTGGCTGTGTCGTCCTTCCAGTTGATGTCAGGGTAGTTGAAGTCTTCCATGAGGACCAGGGCCTGTAACCGTAAGGCAACATCCAGCTGTCTATAGAAGGCCTCATCAACTTCCTCATCCTGGTCAGGTGGCCTGTAGCAGACACCCACCACAGTCTCTTAACACTTTCCTATGTTTCCCACAAACCTTTTCTCTTTACTAACACACCTGATTTAAACAATCTCATTAGGCTTGATTATTCTCCATTATTGAGCATTAGAATTCCTGCTTCTCTGTTACACCTGAATAAAACCTCGTGTGCTTGAAGACTTGTTAATTTTTTCCTAACTGCTGCCGGTGTTTTAATAAAAGGTATCACTGCTCTCTTAACAACCTACCTCAATAGGCAGCTGTGGCTCCTACAGCAACACTAAAGCACATAGCAGAAGCAGGTAACAACCGCATGGAGCAATCAGCTATGTAAATTCAGAAAAAAATAAAATAGCTGTTTTCCTCAAGTAAAACAAATGATACTGATGTGAGAGAAAGGGGCAGAAGGAAGTATGCAAGCAATAGTTTTCCTGAGTGTAGAACAAAAGGAGAATTAAAAATAATTAAAATTCTCATACGAAAATCTCAGAGTTTTTTTTTTTTTGGCTTTAATAGTGCAACTTGCTGCACTGAAGCATCTGATTTTTATGTTCAGCAACATTTAACACAATCTTAAAAAAACTTAACACAAGCACTGACATGCAAATAGTAAAAAAAAAAAAAAAAAAGTCCTTAAATCCTAACAGCACAAAGTCATCCAAGAAGGATAAGGGTATCCTACTGAAAGTGCCTTAATGTCTGAAAACTAAGTATCTGTTTTATTAGTTTTTGGAACTTCAAGACATAAAATAATTTTGGATTTCTTAAGAATATCTTGTGAAATTAAATGTATTTTAGTGAAAGGCAGTACAGACAACCCACAAAAGTACAGAAAAATGGTGGTGCTTCTCTCAGGAAATCGCTGGTAGAGCAGAATACCAAAGCAGCTGTGAAGCAATTTTCTCTAGTGACCTGGTGAACTCTTCAGAAACATTATGAAGGTTTTATCTGTAAACTTCTGCGGGCTCAAGGATATCATAAATGTCCCTGTATAGAAGGAGATTCTTCAGAGTATTTTGGTCCCCTTTGTACTGTTTGCAACAGGAGGTGTTGGTCCCAAATGATAAATGGCAGTAAGTTAACGTAACTAAAACTATGTATTGCCGTAACAACACATGCTGAGTCCTCCTGTGGCTCGATTGCAGAGGTGCACACACCGAGCACAGTGTAAGACACGATGACCTATGCAACTGCGCCTTGCTGCTGCCCTATGTTTAGCCAAGACACCAGGTGAAGCACCTCCACGGAGCACTGACCTCCAAGGAAAGCCAACGGGGCCCAGAACGAGTCCCGAGGGAGGGCCTTTCTGGCTCCTCTCTGTACCAATGTGACAGAGGGGCAGTTTGGGTGAAAGACACGGTGAACAGCAGTACCATCAGCACGACCCGGCACCTGGAAAACACCAGGGCTCTGCTGGAGGCCTCGAAGTGGGCCTGGGACCTTGGCAGGTTCCTCTGCTCCCCGGCGTCCCAGTCCCCCCGCGCGGG